AAAGGAAATCAAGCGAGAAAGATGAGGCCTCTCAATCTTTCCACGTGGTTACCTGCTCAGGAAAGACCGATACTGGAAGAGGAGTAGGTCTAACGTTCTCCCCAAAAACACCTCCGTCGTCGACGTTACCAAGAGCAAAGCCCTGTTGCGAGATGGGCTGGCCATCAAGATCATAAAACGATGGGGAGAGCGGCCCATCATAGATAGCGGGAGAAGAGTCAGCCGCGTTTGACAAGTATTCATCAGCGAGCCCGGTTTGAAAATGTGAGCTGTCCGTATAAGAGCCGCTCGGTATTCGATGCTCTACTGGCTCGGACACACAGGTTCCGCATCCAGCATACCATCCAAAGTAGCAATCGTGAGACGCGTGAAGAAAGGCCGAATCGTAGACTGCTGCGCTAGGGACCTCGAAGTATTGTTGACCACATATGGACCGTAGAAAACAAGGACTTGAGTCAATCAGCGACCACTCACTACTTGACAGCATTCGGAGAGACTCACTTCATGAACGTAATATGCAAACAGATAGGACACATCTGGGCCAAAAGGCCACCGGAGCCCGCGTTGTAGTAACCGCTGAACATCTGTTCCTGGAGGGCCATACTCAAGGAGGTGACGGCTGGAGACTGCTGTGTATATACTGAGATGATGTCGTCGAGGGTCGGTTGCCCGGAGGATGTCAGCTTTGCAGGCGATAATAATGAGCACGCCGACGTGGCATGGCCTCTGGTGTCAGAATACGATTCTATGTCTGCTGATTGGCGCTGGAAATCTATTGATGGTGACATAGCAGCAGCGGGCGGGGTATGTGGTCCGACGATATCTTCTTGCATAGCCTCCGTCTCGCTATCAAGTGTCGGCGTGGCCGCAGTGGGCGTCAAAAGATACTCTATTGAGGTTCGAGAAGGCATTGCTATCGGAGGGTTTGCTGAGTATGTTGCTGAGTGTTTGGCTGTGCTGGAGCAGGATGTGAAGTACGAGGATGTGAAGTACGTGACTGAGGAGATTGCCGCACTATATATGTCGATGGTTCAAACTTCGCACCTGTTGATCTTCGCCAAATCAGGCATGCCAAACTTGCGCATGTAGTGCCGAGTACTGGTCGTCAATGGCGTCACGACCGTGGAGATGGCTGTTGGTTTTCGTGCCAGATTGCACGAGTCCGCGTGTCGGAGAAGGGCTCGGGTCGGCGAAGCGGAAGCGCCGTAGGCGATAGGAGGAATAATGATACTTGACCAGTGGCTAGAAGAGTTTGAAGCTCTGCCAACACGAAGACGAGTGTCGGAGTCAGGGGAGTGGTTGACGCGTGCGCAAGAAACGACGCTCACCCACATCTGGAGCGCGATCTGGGTTGCAACTGGCTGCGGGGCTTCCTGACGGTGATGCTGCATCACAGCCACTTCTGAATGAGCCGGCTGTCCGGGATGATCCCGTGCTGTTAGCCCCTGTTACAACAGGTGATCAATGTATAATGTCAAACAAACAGGCTTCGTTGCCCAGATATCGCCTTCTATCCCGAGAAGGAAGCAATCAATACACTATGGCTTTGTCTAAGGCGGCACGACTGATTGGGCGCGTGATCAGGGGACAGTCTTGAGTCTCTGCGCGGGCCAGGCAGCCTCAAAGACCTTTTTGATGGCGTTTCTATTTGCTGGCCTGGAAGCACAAGGGTATCTGGTTCTTAGTGGCTACCATCGGGTCCTGACCGTTTGCTACGTTGACAAACAACGCCAACAAGGACGTCCGAACGGTCCAGGGCAAATACGCAGCCGGCTGGTGTTCTGCCCTTGACTTCGGTCTCAATAAGCTTGCATGTGTTGTCGGGTCATTAGTTCATCTCGCTCTGCAGTTGACATGTGGTACAGCCATGCAAGTCAAAGTTGAATTTCTATGATTGAATTCTCTAGGACGCATGTCTCTCTTAATTCGCAGACCTTTCTGCCCGTTCACATTCAACGACTCCGTACGAGGACCCAGTGTAAGAACCCAATCAAATATCGCAGGGCTAGCGGGAGATGCCGTCCGTCACCGGTTCCAGCAGAAACTCGTGTGCCAGTCAGCACAGCGATGATACATCTCAATGCTATTTTATGTTCACTCTTTAAGCACAACCCATTCGAGGGGCCTCGAGTCATGCCCTGACAACGAGTGCTGCAAAGGTATTGTGTATCGTTTCTTCCAAGGCAGCCGGTGGCGCGGAATGTAGAAATACTCCAGAAACCCCTGGCCCTTATTGTAATACAGTACGCAAGTTGTCAATTCGT